ACTGTTCTTGTTGGAACGATGCTGTCCACACTGAAGTTTATATAATCTGTCACACACTCAGTCATGGTGTTGATGTTGTCTCCATGAGGTTCACAGAGGACATTCCAGTCTGTGGCCTCAAAGCACCCTCTCAGAGCATCTTCAGCCTCCATAGACCAGGTTTTAATAGTCCTTAGGTATGTGGTATGGTATGTGTAAAAGGTATGTGCTTCATAAAAAGACTGGAAGCTAGAGTCCAAACAGGCTGTATAAAGACTTCTGAGGAGACAGGTCAAAACTTACTCAAAGCTCATATACTAGTCTAATTAGCTACTAGGTGATTGGGAAAAATAAAGCCACAACACACAGATCTTTATCTACTTAGTTTCATCATCAAGGTTCATCAACTAATAATTTCTCTATAGTTCCGTACCAGTTCTGTGCTGTCAGGGCCAGCAAAGCCTTCTCTGCTGGCCTAAACTTTAGCAGAATCACTGACTTGTGTTGTAATATTTTCCCAATAATCTTCTTACATGATTCTTAACAGTCTGCTCTCTTCATTTACAGTTTTTTTCAGTATTTCCTCAGTATTTCAGTTTCCTCGACATTTGCAAAACAAATCCTCACCCTAGTGAGGATTCAGCGGTGTACAGATAATGGATGGATGGATGGATGGAAAGAGCTTATGTTGATTGCTTAATAGGCACTTGATGGTAGCTGCTGATGAAAGTAAGTATTTCGGCAGTTTTATCTGCTGCAAATCTTCAGGCTTCCACGTTAACGCAACACAACATATGTCAGAATTAACAACTTTACTAATGAAAATAAGGTGATGTTCATGCTTGCAATTTATGAAATCTAACAGAGACATCTTATCTGCAAAGTCACTGCTAGCAAATGCTTCCCTTCTTATCTCAAGCTGTTTTTGTGCCAAAAAGCCAAAGTAGCACAAAGTGTGTGCTGAAAAAAATATTTGTTTCTTACGTTTTCAGGAAGAAAATTGAGGGGAAGGTGCATCATTTGTCAAGAAATGTATTCCATCTTCAAAATGCCACAGACTTAACAGAAGGAGAAGCAAGTTAAAGGAACTACTTGAATTTTTTTATTATTTACTATGAGTGCTATTGAACAATGTTTTTTTTACTGGGGCCCAATTTATGTATGTATGTTCTCATGTGCAGGCACAAAGATGCACAGACACACAATCAGTGCCAAATGACAGCACTAGAAAAATTATGCAAATATTTTATGAACCAACTCCTGCCATACCTGCTTTACCCTTTATACTCTGCGTATATGTCTGTTCAATACACAACATCAGTTTGTACGCTGATATATGTCACCTTATACTCGTGTTCGTGCATCCCATTACAATCATCATTTTCAATTCTGGTTGCTTCTCTCTGTTCAAGTGCCATTCAGCACAGGATTTTTCTTGCAGAGTCATTTTTGTCTCCCCCAAAGAGATTTTTCCTTTTGTGCCAAAGGAAAATCAGCAGCATCAAAATGATAAGAATAGATCATAAGTGTTTTGTTGTTGTTGTTTTTAACTATTTTGTTGAATAGGCTTTCATTTACTCTAACATAATGGATATTTTTGTTTATCAAATTGTGAAAATAAAATAAAAACAAAAAAAAAAACAGAAAATGGATTTCTGTTAAATTAAGTAATAGAGACCAATTGCCTTTACTATTTGAGGAGCTGCATGCTTTCTGTCATGCTGAGTCAGATCGATGCCTATTCTGACAGGAAAAAACTCTGTCCATACATAGAGGGTTTTCACACATCGAAATAAAATACACTATGCGGCACAATTAAATCCAAACAAATCAAATAGACAAAGACAAGACAAACATCTAATGCAAAGGCCCCTTCTCTGCCCTTTCCATTTGTCAATGTAGCCACATAGAAAGAAACAAAAACCTTTCATCTACTTGTCTTAAAAATGTCTACTCATGTGCAAAGACAGACCAAGAACTTTTACAAGGAAAGTCATAATGTTTACTACAAATCTCTTGCAAATTATGGACGTGATTACCTATTGTAGAACTATACAACTCAGAACAGTGACCTGTTGGATGATCACTTTACAAAGCAGACAACTCTGAAAGGAAGATTTTGGATTTCTCCTGCACTAAACATGACAAACTGTATTGAAAATTGAAGACAGTGCAATTACCATTATTGAGGGTTAGAATTATTAGGCCAGGAATAGATCTTCCCCGTGGGTTGGGTAGATAGGTCCAGCAAAATATTGTGAATTTTACTACATATATTGTTCTGATTGATATTTAATGTTTATTGTAAGGCAAAAATGCGTTATTTTTAATATTATAGTTTCTGACTCATTAGGCTTATTTTGAAATTACCGACACTTTGGACCGGAAATGACGTTGCGGCGAAACCGGAAGTCAGTCAGAGAAGCGAGGAGAAAGTTGGCGAGCATGGTGACATTAGCCAGACTGAATCTAGCGGCATCCACACACATCTCATGTCTTTGGTGGCATCGAGGATACGTGTTATGTTGTACTATCGTTTGTGTCTATTTTTTGGTGATATCTTTGAGAATATATTAAGTTTGGTGACTTTTAAT